ATCAGTGGAGATATGGTCACAAATCCAACAAGAACTCTTTGAAAATGAGTCTGCAATACAAAGACGCTAGTAACGCTTTCTGTTGCAGGATCTCGGAGACCCTTACAAAACCTAATGCTCCTTTGAGATAAAGAAGTATGTTACTTCCATTTTGTTATTACTTGCTTATAATTGTAAAAGAGACATTGCACTGGCCCAATGTGTTTTTTAAAGTGAAGCAGTCTGTTAGAAAGGGGTAATGATGATGAAGTCAAAGGTGTGAGAAGTCAGATAAAAAAGTGAACTTTAGAATAAAGTGTTAAGATGGTATAACATAAAAACACAGACATAGGAACACATGTTTATATAAGATGTTTGATGTATGTTTGAACTTAATTTTGCATTCTGGGAACTCTATTCTACTGCAAATTTATGCCAGCTAGATATGCTTCTGAGTGAACAGGGGCAGTAAACAGGACAGTATGCAAGCAGTTTGTTGGGCACAAGAGCAGGAAAGGGAAGAGGAGCCAGGGACCAGGCACCAGATCCTGCTCTGGGAAGATGAATGAGCCAGGGCTGTGTGTTTGTTTGGTGAGCTGTGTGTTTGGGTGTGTGCTCTGAACAGCTGGGATATTGTTGGGTCATTGCTGCCTGTGTTTGACAAAAGCCTTAACAAGGGGCAGAACCAGTTCAGGCACAGAAGGGTAAAAAGGAGATGCCAAGTGACCAGGGTCAGCAAACAAGAAAGACTCCCTTCTGCAGGGCACAGAGGCATCCATCTGCTGGCCTGACCTGTTGTCTTGGGAGGTCTGCCATTTGCCCAGAGCCTGGATCTGAGATGTCACGGAAGGATTACCAAGACTCATGCAGCCTTCTGACTACTACCTGAGGCTGCTCATCCATGTGGGCACCAATGATGCTGCCAGGAGCTACCCTGAAAAGATCAAAAGTGACTACAGAACTCTGGGAGCAAGGGTGAAGGGGACAGAGGGCTCAAGTGATATTCTCAGTCTTTCTAGTCAAGGGGAAGGGCCTGGGCAGGAGAGGGCACATCCTGCAGATCAATGCATGTCTGCACAGATGGTGTCACCAGCAAGGTTTTGGCTTCTTTAACCACCGAATGCTGTTCCAAAAAGGATTGCTAGGAAGAGACAGGATCCACCTGACAAAGTGAGGGAAGAGCATCTTTGTAGACAGACTTGCTAACCTAGTGAGGAGGCCTTTAAATTAGGTTCACCAGAGGATGGAGACAAAAGGCCTGAGGTAAGTGGGGAAGCAGGAGACCTGGAGGCAGCACAAGGTGGAGGGAGGACAGGGGAGGCCTCCTCATTCTTCCTGAGCAGGTAGGGCAATCGTCTAGTTACCCCAGGTGCCTGTACATGGATGCCCAGAGCCTGGGAAACAAGCAGGAAGCACTGGGAGTCCCGGCACTGTTATAGAATGATGATGTGGGATAGCTCACATGACTGGAGTGCTGTCATGGATGGGTGCAAACTGTTCAAGAAGGACAGGCAAGGGAGAAGAGGAGGAGTTGCTCTTTATGTAGAAGAGCTGTGTGATTGCTCAGAGCTCCAGTATGAAACTAAAGACGGGACTGTTGAAAATCTCTGGGTTACAGTCAGAGGGCAAGGGAGCAAGGGTGATGTCGTGGTGGGTGTCTGCTATAGATAGGGATGTACCAAATTCATAATGTTGCCATTTTAGTGGAAAATGCAAGATCAGGCATTTTCCATGAAAATTGGAGAAGTCCACTGAAAAAAGATGCTGCACAAAAGGGGAAAAGTTGGGCTCCGTGTAAAAATAAAAGGTTTTTCTTTTTTTTCCCCTGCTTGGACAGCAGCCAAGATGGCTGCTGCCCCTACTCCTGGCTGCTGATTGGGTGAGAGGGCTGCACTCATGCAGCCTCTCAGTCCTGCAGCCTGGGCAGACAGGAACAGGCCCAGCCCTGCTTTTTTTTTTTTCTCAGCAGCTGCAGCCATAACTACCTGGCCTGGCTGGTCCCATTCTGCAGTAAGTGGGTACTTTGGAGGGTGGGGGAAGGGACCAAAGGGAGCAGAGCCAGCCCCAGGCCAGGGGGCAATGGGATGGCAGCAGCCTGTCTCCACGTGGACCTGGGGGGCAGCATGGCCCAGCTGTGGTGGGGAAGTGCGGCTGGGCTGAGGAGAGTAGAACCAGGCTGGGGCAGGGGGCGGGGGGAGGAGGGCAGTGGGGTGGCAGTGGCTCATCCTTGCACCTCTGTGGGTGGGGAGGCTTATTTTTTGCCCCATGCAGGCTAGGGCTGTGTGGGGAGCAGGACCAGACTGGACCAGGGGCAAGGGCTGGTGACATCCCATGTGTCTGCTGGCCACCCCAGCCAATCAAAGGCATATGGGGGGGGGTGGAGGGAGGAGAGGGGGACTGTGGTCTGCTTGTGAAGCTGGAGCCAGGGGCTGCAGCGAGCCCATAAAATTTAGCCCCAGGCTCTCTGATTTAAGTACATCCCTAGCTATAGACCACCAGATCAGGAGGATGAGGTGGCTGAGGCTTTCTTCAAACAGCTAGCACAAGTTTCCCAATTACAGGCCCGGTTCTCATGGGGGACTTCAATCACCCTGACATCTGAAGGGAGGGCAGTGCAGGAGTGCACAAGCAATCCAGGGAGTTTTTGAAGAGTGTTGGGGATAACTTCCTGGTGCAAGTGCTGGAGAGGCCAACTAGGGTCTGTGCTCTTGACCTGCTACTCACAAACAGGGAAGAATTGGTGGGAATGTGGAAGTGGATGACACTTGGGCAATAGTGACCATAGGATGGTTCAGGATCCTGAGGGGAAGGGGAAGGAAGGGAAGCAGCAGAGTAAGGATCACAGACTTCAGAAAAGCAGATTTTGATTTGCTCAGGGAACTGATAGGCAGGATCCCCCAGGAGGCCAGTCTGAGGGAAAAGGAATCCAGGAGAGCTTGTTGTACTTCAAAGAAATCTTCCTGAGGGCACAGGAATAAACCAACCTATTGTGCAGGACAACTAGCAAGTATGGCTGAAGACCGGCTTGGACTAGCAGAGGACTCTTCAGTGAGCTCAAATGCACACACACAAAAAGAAGCTTACAAGAAATGAAAACTTGGAGAAAATAGGGAGTTAGTATTATGCAGGCATGCAGGGATACAATCAAGAAGGCCAAAGTGCAATTGGAGTGGCAGCTAGCAAGGGATGTGAAGGGTAATGAGAAGGGTTTCTACAAGTGTCAGCAAAAAGAGGAAGGTAAAGGTCCCTTACTGAATAAGAGAAGCAACCTAGTAAAAAATTATATGAAAAAGGCTGAAGTACTGAATGCCTCTTTTACCTCAGTTTTCACGGGCAAGGTCAGCTCCAAGACTACTGAACCTGGCAACAATTTGGGGAGGAGGTGACCAGCCAACAGGGGCAAAAGAACAGGTTAAGGACTATTTGGAAAAGCTGGATGTGTACAAGTCCATGGGGCCAGATGTAATGCAGCTGAGGGAGTTGCTGATGTGATTGCAGAGCTTCTGGCTATTATCTTTCAAAACTTGTGGCAATTGGGAGAGGTCTCAGATGATTGCAAAAGGGCAAATAGAGTGTCCATCTTGAAGAAAGGGAAGGAGGAGGATTCAGGGAACTACAGACCAGTTAGCCTCACCTCAATCCCTGGAAAAATTATGGAGCAAGTCCTCAAGGAATCCATTTCTAAGCACTTGGAGAAGACGGTTATTACTATTAGGAATAGTCGGTATGAATTCACCAAGGGCAAGTTTTATGCCTGGCCAACCTGACTGCCTTCTATGATGAGATGACTGGTTTGGTGGATGCTGGGAGAGCAATAGTGTGATATACCTTGACTTCAGCAAGGCTTTTGATACAGTCTACCACAACATTCTCCCAAGCAAGCTAATGAAGTATGGGTTGGATGAATGGACTGTAAAGTAGATAGAAAACCAGCTAGATCATCAGGCTCAAAGGGTAGTAATCAATGGATCAGTATCTAGTTGGCAGCTGGTGTCAAGTGGAGTGCCCCAGGATAGATATTGGGGAAAACTTTCTCATGAGGACAGTAGTAAAACACTGGAACAGATTACCCAGAGAACTTGTGGAATCTCCATCCTTACAGGTTTTTAAGAGCTGGGTAGACAAAGCCTTGTCTGGGATGATGTAGTTGGATGGTCTTCCTTTGAGTAAGGGGTTGGACTAGATGAACTCCTGAGCTCCCCTTCAGCCCTAATTTTTCATGATTCTATGTGGGATTTTTTTTCTTGGAATAACCAAAGGTTCCATGGCTAATCTGACCCCATCATAGGAATCTTTTTATTGCGTATCTGAAGCCAACTGGAAACCCATAGTTCTCCATTTCTGTCCCAGCCATCTCCATGCCTCTGCAAGACAGCTTCTTGGGTAAAGAGGTCAGCATTTTTAGACTTGGATGCCTGATGTTGATTCATGGATGCATCAGACACTCATTTCCCTCATTTAGGTGCACAGCACCTCTGCAAGTTGGTGTTGTCTTTGTTCTGTTCCTATCCAAATCCGTTCTAAAGATTTGTTTCTTCTACTGTGCCCAGAAGAAAAGATTTAACCACATAACTGTTAAAAATCCTAGTGTGTCCCTCCCCTAGGGAGCAGTCTGTCTGATATACTCTATCTTACTTGGATGGAAGCTCTTTCAGATCTGGGAGCAGATGGCTTTTTCTTGCATGGTACCAAGCACACTGAGACTTCATCAGCAAGGAAACCATTCCCAAAGGGTGTGTAAAACATTATAGGGATGCTAAAAAATCCCAATGTGTTCCCTTATTTAAAATGCCATCTTATGGTTACTACTTGGCTCCTGGAGCTGCTGGTGGGAAATAAAATCCTTTTTCCACCCTTCTTTAATTCAAGGGGAAAAATGCACTCAATGGAGTGAAAGCTGCATCCACAGCAGCAGTGCAGCCATGCCATGTTTGTGGTACCCCAGAGGTGCCTTTGTTTCTGTTATCTTGACTCCTGCCTCTTGGTCACCTCTGCAGGTTTAAAGAGACTGAAAAACATACCATGAGCAGCTGCAACAACAGCACCAGCAGAAACAACAGGCATTGGACCCTCGATTCCCAGCGCCGTGCTGTGCCTGAGCAGAGCTCGTTGTCTCCTGGGCCGCTGACATCTGCCGTTTGCGCATCTCCATCCTCTCTGATCCCATGGACTGTGAAAAGCAAAATAAGGGGAAATAATTAACTTGTGTGAGAAACCTTGCCAGGTACCAGGAAGGCTAACTCTTCTAGGTTGATCTCCCAGGTTAGGTAGGGTGCCGAACCCTTTTGAAAATCTAGTTTCCCTCATTTAGGTCCAACTGCATGTGCACAATTGGTGTTAATTCCCATAGTCACACATGGCCTCTCCTTTGCCCTTTGTACCAACATTTGAATTATATGAATTAAAGCCAGTAAAGATATCCCTGACACAGACCTCCAAAATCTAAGGGTTTAAGGTGCTCCTTGCCTGTGACGTAGCTGATGTAGATGGAGTTAGGAAAAGAGGGGAATCTGGTAAAGAAATGACTATAAGAGGGGAAAAGTATGTTCTCTCTCCTCGTGGTTGGTTGTAGCTGCAAATATCTTGGTGGTTGTTAGTTCAGATTCTGGATTTACACTTCAGATTTTGGAACTAAAGCCAGCCTTAGGACCAGAATATGAAATGACCTGTAGCTGAGATTTTTATTTTTTATTTCTTCCTCTCCTAGCTGGCAAGTGTCTGCAGGTACTCAGGGGGGTGTAGGTTATAGCTGTGTTGGTCTAAGGACATAGGCAGACAAGGTTCCTTGAGTGAATCTGATATCTTTTATTAGACCAACCCAAATAGTTGGAGAATAGTTATTAAGCAAGCTTTCGGGTTCAAAAACCCTTTGTCAGGCTAAGGAAGTTTCAGCAGTTGGAAGAGTCAGGAAGAGCACACACCAGGGCCTACATGACCCCCAAAGAGCTCACAGCAGAAGCAGCCCTCACGGCACTTGGGGCCTCATGGCACGCGGCTGGGCCCTGGCCACCTGTCACCCAGCACTGCCTCTGCCATATCATACGAATGTGGCCTAGCTCAGCCCATGTGCCTTTGGGCACCTCCGAGCCACTCAGGCTGTTACCCAGGGCCCTGTGCTACTGGTGGGGACCACCTGTCATGCCAAGCTCGGTCCTGCATGCACGGCCCCATGAGCCGTCGGGCCGGGCCAGTTCCGTGCATGCAGGACCCGGCCCGGTGCAATAGGCAGTCCCTGTGAGCAACACGGGGCCCCAGATGACAGCCTGAGTGGCCTGAAGCTGCCTGAAGGGACATGGCCCCACCCATGCGGTGAGGCAGAGGCGCCAAACAGCCCTGATGGCTGCTGCTGTGGGTGAGCTGGGGGCCATGCAGAGAGTCTGTAGACCCTGTGGGGAGGTGGGGCTCTGGGTCCTGCAGGGAGGGCTTTAGCCCCTATCGGGGGGGCTGTGGCCCATGGGGGTGGGGGGGACAGTCTGAGTTGTGTGGTGGGGCTGTGCCCTCTGGGAGGCAGGGGACCCACCCCTCCTGAGCAACCCCACCCACAAATCCCACACCCCTAGGCCACCCCCACAAACCCCTCACCCACATACCTGGCCCTGTGGGTCAGGAATGAAGGAACTGGGATGGGGAGCAGGCTGTGGGTTGAAAGAGAGGTGCAGGGGAAGGGCACAGGCATATCAGTGCTGTCCACCACTGTACATTCTGGTGAGTGAAGGGGGTAGTTGAAGCTCTGACTTTTCTATGACAAAAAAGCTGAAAGTAAATGCCAAAGTGTTCAGATATTTAGAATTTATTTTATTACAATGATAGAGGCACTGATAGACTTCAAAATTGCTTTAAACTTGTAAATATATCAATAAAATGTTGCCCAACTGATCTCTCTCTATATAGTGCCATTTCATTTTAATAGCAAAAGAACACTATTTGGGGTATTTTAATGAGAAAATTTGGGTTTCTTATCAGAGAATTTGCAATTTTTAAACAGGAAACACCAGGATTTCTTTTGGTGAAGACAAGTGGTGAGAGCCAGGCAGAGGAGCCTCTCCAGGGCCAGCACTGGAGGGCAGATGTGGTGGCTGACTTGTTGGCCATTTGGGGCCAAGAGGCCACTGAAAGGAGCATATCTTCTGGGCAACAGCTGCCCAGATGGCAGAGCAGAGACACCTCATCCGGGTCTGGCAGGCATGCAGCCATGGGGCCGCAGGTCCAAGGGGGCGGATACTGTTGCAGGTGGCAGCAGGTCACAGCCAGGCAGCAGCCCCCACTGCCAGACTGCTGCAGTGCGTAGAGGGGGCAGGGGCCACTCCAGGTCAGGGCTGCTTCAGCAGTCCAGTTGGCACAAGGGGTAGTGTCCCCAGATACCAACTGGCTGGGCCTCAGAAGCTCCTGAGGGCAAATAGTCTTAATCTGCTTCCCAAGCAAAGCAGCACCTGTGCTGGCCTCAGGGTCTAGGCTGCAGATCTGGAAGGAGCTGGGCAGGGTTATTTTGCCCTAAGTGCCACAACTTGCCCCATACCAAAGTGCATGTCTGGGCGCGCACACTGAGGCAGAAATTCCCGGCTCAAATTTGTGCCACTCCTATTTGAGCTACTGCAAGCGCACATGCCTGCACGTGTGGATGCACCCACAGTGTCAGACTTTGAGTTTGTGTTGTTCATCATTTAACAACAGGCTTGAGAAATCAGCATAAAGATAAGTCATCTCCCTCCATACAGGTTAGAGACATATTTATGTAAGATTATGGTGGTAGTTTGGCAGGGGGGGCCCGGGAAGTTCAATACAAATGCAGCAGGCTCTGTAACAGAAATTACAAAATTATGTATATAGTAAACAGCAGGTTATTCCAGCTCAGACAGTATTAATTCATGCTTGATGCTTTTTTCAACCAGTTCCTCTTTTTACTGAGTTTGTTTTATAGTGTAGCGTTCTTCTTGGTTTTTGCTGGAACCACCCACTCTCCCAAGAGAAATGGGTATGACATGCTGAGCAAAGATGCATCTACTTTGTAGGATAACTTTAGACCACAGCAGCTACAATATAATGGGGAGAAAACAATAAAAATGTTACGTTTTGCACCTCTGCAGAGCAAATTTGGAAGCCATTCCCTATGTGGCCATAAATCTTCCAGAGCATCATCCTGACTTGTTTTATAATATAAAAGAGTAAGCATGGAAAGGAAAATATATATATGTATGTATTAGTGTTTCAAGTTCATAAGAGTAGAAGTAAATACTGAATATCTTCAACTCTCTTTTTGGTATCTCTTTTATTTTTGAAAAGTGAAGCATGTTTGTCTTAAAGAAAACCTAATCACATACAGAACATCATAATACACAATAGTATACCAAATGGATTCCAAACTTCTTGTGGACAGTAAACATTTTCTTATTACCAATTAGAAAAGTGTAATTTTCAATCAAATGAGTGCTGTTTTTGTAACCTAATTCATCCAGCTTCATTTATTAGATGGCTTACATGGTTACTACGCACATAAATACCTTTAACCCATTTTACAATTGAATTGACATGATTAGCAGTATAAATTGCTGTCCTCCTGTTTTGTTTTGGTGGGCAGGCAGAGGGGAGATGAGAATAGAAGGAAGAGGTTCATAAATCACAGCAAGCTCCTAAATCTCTTACTTCACAGAATCCCCTTTTGGATCCATTATTTAAACTTTAGGTTTATTTCTTCTCCATGTTAACCTCTGCTGTCCACTTATTCCTTGCTATACTTTAATACCAGGGAAGAATGTTTACATGTGCGCACACATCCCCTCAGCACTCCCAAAATAGTCTTTTGTTTCATAAGTTGAACAAAGACTATTCAGAAGCAGGTGGCTTTTATGACTGTAAAACAAATATTTACCATTTATATGTGTATCACAACATGTAGAATATGAAGGGCTGGGCAGGAAAATATTCAAGGAACTTTGTTTAAACTTTCTCTGTTCCATTAGCAGATGGACACGTTGACACACTGACTTTCATTTTGACTACACACAAATTAATCTTACTGCTTGTTGATGTACTATGAAGATTTAAAAAACGACAGTATTTCTAACAATCAGTATATTTTTAGATGGCAAAAACATGTTCAGAAATTTGGAAAAGGGGATCTGTGTCAGGAATATCTTTACTGGCTTTAATTCATATAATTCAAATGTTGGTACAGAGGGCAAAGGAGAGGCCATGTGTGACTATGGGAATTAACATCAATTGTGCACATGCAGTTGGCAAGATAACTAGCAGATCACAAACTAAAGATGAGTTGACAATGTGGGGCTATTGCAAAAAAAAAAAAAGAAGCAAATCTCATTCTAGGGGTGTTTTAACAAAAGCGTCAGAGGTACAAAAGAAGAAAAGTAATAATTCCACTCTACTTGGTGCTGGTGGGTCTATAATGTATTTAGCTTTAAGCACTGTACTTTAGGAAGGAGCTAAGTAAATTGGCAAGAGTTAGTCTGGGAAGTAGAAGACTGAGGAGGTCTTTCAATATTGTGCTAGGCACAATACAAACTCCTGTTAGGTTGCAGCCTCCTACAGGGGAGGTGGAGGGGAAACTGAGGCACATAGATAAAACGACTTGCCAAAGGTCACATGGCAAGTCTCTGGCAGAGCTAGGAATAAAGTTCTGGTCTTACTGAAGTCGATAAGAAATTTGATATTGTCATGGTATCGTTCCAGTTCTTTAGACTCCCAGTCTATGACCCTGGCCCAAGAGCATTTGGGCTTCTTACTTTCACAGTAATAATCTATCTCCTTGAAAGGATGATGGTTTTGATCTATGCCAGTGACAGAATGCCCGGGCTATATCTGTTGCCGCTTGCTATAATGTTTGCAGAAGGAAGTTTATCTTATAGAAGTTCATCCAAACTCCTTTGCTGATTCAACAGAGCTGGTCTCTCACTTTTAGAGAAAGGGAAATGTGCATTGTTATGCTCCATTTACCAAGATCTATATGATAAGACAGCTGAAACATTTTAGTCTTACATTCAGGTCAAAATAGGTTTAATAAAAATGCGGAGTCTGATTTTCAGTTGATTTGCATAGAACTGCATAAACTCACAGTAGCTGGGAATCTGGACCACTAGTGTTGAAGAACTGCTGATGAGATTAGGGAGAGATGTGGTAATTATTTTTGAGAAGCCCCTTTGCCTAAATGCCCTTATT